TGCAAGTTTGAGGCCAGCACAGTAACTTAACAAGGCCCCTAGCAACATAGGTAGACCCTCTCTCAAAAAATAAAAGGACTGAGGATGTGGCTCAGTGATAAAGTACCCCCGGGTCAATTCCTAGCACCAAAAACAACAACAACAAATTTTTTATTTAAATGTTAGATTCTCAGGCATGGTGGGGCATGTCTGGAGTCTTTTTTTTTTTTTTTGGTGATGCTGGGGATTGAACCCAGGGCCTTGTGATGCGAGGTAAGCACTCTACCAACTGAGCTATATCCCCAGCCCACACCTGTACTCTTAGCCAGAAGTAACGGGAGACTCAGGTAGGAGGACCACCAAGTTCAAGGCCAGCCTCAACTTAGCAAGGCCCTAAGCAACTTAAGAGAGACCCTGTCTCAAAATAAAAAATAAAAGGGCTGGGGAAGTAGCTCAGTGGTGTCCCTGCATTTAATCCTCAGGGGAAAAGGCTGGATCCTTCCTCAAAATTGATCTACTTATTTTATTTTTTAACTTTTTAAGTACTTGTTAGTTGTTGATAGACCTTTATTTTATTTATTTATATGTGGTTCTGAGAATCGAACCCAGTGCCTCACACATGCTAGGCAAGTGCTCTTGCACTGAGCTACAATCCCAGCCATGATCTGCTAATTTTAGTTCCTTACCATCCCTAATATTTCTCTAAAACTATTCAGTAGAATGGGTTCTGCAGGGAGTTAAACCACATTTGACCCATGGCTTTGTATAGCCCCTAAGTGGTACATAATTCAGTTGTGCAGACTCCAGTTAGAGAAGTAGGGTAGGCAGTCCTGTTGTAAACGGAGTGCAGATGCCCTGGAGCCATGGGTAAGCTCACCCTCAGAGCTCACCGGAGTGAATTTTTGACCTTAGGGTCAGAGCTTGGGCCATTTTCCTGATGTCTTCACCTCTCCCTACCAGGACATTCACCACGGCAATGGCACCCAGCAAGCATTCTACAGTGATCCCTCTGTGCTCTACATCTCCCTGCATCGCTATGACAATGGGAACTTCTTTCCAGGCTCTGGGGCTCCTGAAGAGGTACAGTTCCTGGGCCTACATACAGGCCCCTCCGGGAGGTGGCAGGATGGGCCCTGGCAGGAAGCCACTGAAGTCCATGGTGGTGCTGGTCCCTGGGGCATCTCAGGGGCTCCTAGTGGGAGGACCTCACAGGTCTGACTGCCTCTCAGGCACCGCAGAGGTCAGTGGAGTGATGCCTTGGAGGCAGAGGTGAGGGTGGGTCAATGTCAGAGATCCCCAAGCAGTGAGAATAACCCCTTCCCAATCCTGGTGCTAGGTCGGTGGAGGGCCAGGCGTGGGGTACAATGTGAATGTGGCATGGACAGGAGGTGTGGATCCCCCCATTGGAGATGTGGAGTACCTGACAGCCTTCAGGTGGGTTTGAGAAGGGCCAAGGGAGAGATGGTAGCCCCTGGGTCTGGTGGTGGGAAGGGCAGCAGGTGCTCAGTTCAATGTGGATGGAGGAATGTGGTCTCCTAGAAGAGAAGAGGGGGCGAGGCCTGGCCTGGCCATCTGCTGGGGTCAGCTTGGGCCATCCCTTTGCAGGACAGTGGTGATGCCCATTGCCCATGAGTTCTCACCTGATGTGGTCCTAGTCTCCGCTGGGTTTGATGCTGTTGAAGGACATCTGTCTCCACTTGGTGGCTATTCTGTTACCGCCAGATGTAAGCCTGTTGGGAGTTTGAGGGAGGGTGTGGAACAGTGAAGAAGGAGTCAAGCAGGGACATGGGGCGAGGAACAGACTGATATTCCAGAGGAAGGGAAGGGCAGGGGGTAGGTAGGTCTAAGGCTTGGAATCATCTTGCTAGCTCCTTTCACCCTCCTTCTGCCAACCCTGGCCTGAGTGGGGGCAGCAGGAAGAAGTGGGGTAGCAGGGGATATATATCTTCTGCTGGAGCCATGGGGTTGGAGCTTTCCAACCAATCCCTGGCCTTTCAGTGATGCGCCCTATACCACAGCATGTAACTGATTTTCTCATCCTGTCTTATGTTTTGTCTCTGGATTACTTATTCCACTATCATTGATTATTATTATGGATATATGTGGGTTTATATTTTCCATCTCATTTAGTGCTATTTGTCCTCTTCTTGTTTCTTTTTCTTTCCCTTCTTCCTGTCTCTTGAATTGATATTTTTTACCATTTCATCCTCTTTCCTTCACCCACCAAAGGTTTTGGCCACTTGACCAGGCAGCTGATGACGCTGGCAGGGGGCCGGGTGGTGCTGGCCCTGGAGGGAGGCCACGACTTGACCGCCATCTGTGATGCCTCTGAGGCCTGTGTCTCAGCTCTGCTTAGCGTGGAGGTGAGGGGGTCACAAGAGGGAACAATAGGCCAGGGGTGAGCGATCAGCAAAAATGTCTACCTCCCTGGGTTGAGTAGCACTCACAGGCTGCTAGCTGGCTGGGAAAGCTTTCTGAGTATGCCTGCCCCATCATGAGGGATGGCTGGGGCTGAAAGAGGACATTTAGAGGGGCAGGTGACATCACCCCACTCTAAGCTTTTTTCTTTCTCTTATAGCTACAGCCCTTGGATGAGGCAGTCTTACAGCAAAAGCCCAACATCAATGCAGTAACCACACTAGAGAAAGTCATCGAGATCCAGAGTGCGTGGGGACAGGTGGAGGGGCGCAGACCTCAGCCTGATTGGGGGCAGGGTTTGTGGGAGTGCCAGGGTTGGGGTGTACCTATGGGTTTGTGTGCCCTCCCTGACCCCCTGGCCATCCCTCTTCCACAGGCAAACACTGGAGCTGTGTGCAGAGGTTTGCCACTGGTCTGGGCCGTTCCTTGCGGGAGGCCCAGGCTGGTGAGACGGAGGAGGCCGAGACTGTGAGCGCCATGGCCTTGCTGTCGGTGGGGGCTGAGCAGGCCCAGGCTGCTGCCACCCGGGAGCACAGCCCCAGGTAGGCTCCCTGCCTTCCACCTTCCTGTCCTGGCTTGAGGTGCTGTCCTTCACTCAATGCCTTCCCTGTGCTTGTCCCCACAGGCCGGCAGAGGAGCCCATGGAGCAGGAGCCTGCCCTGTGACACCCCGGCCCCCATCCCTCTGGGCTTCATCATTGTGATTTTGTTTATTTTTTCTATTAAAAACAAAAAGTCACACATTCAACAACGTGTGCTGTGTGGGTCTCTCAGCCTTGCCCTTCCTGTTCCTCTCAGCTGTCCAGCACTCCTGTAGCCTACACCTCAGCTCTGAAAGTGTATTCCCTCTGTAGGGTTGGGGTGCGCTGCCCAGCCAGCTCCCCATGTTGTACCCCACACCCACATCCTTTCATTGTCCTTTTCCCCCTTGGAGCCTGGGCTAGCTCAAGGTGGGCACAGGAGCCCAGATGATACCCTTCAGTTCTGGGGCTCCCAAGTGAGGTGGAAACAGTAAGTTGGTGCCTTGGCTTTGGCTGACTTGGGGGGAATGCCTTAACTTTACCCCCCTTCCCTGATACTGGAGAGGGCACACCAGTAAGATGCAGAGTGGAGTGGAGGAGAGGTGAGCTGTCATGCTGCATTTCTCTACTTCTCCTCTGTCACCCCCATCATCTCTGCAGACCCCTCTGCTTGGCCTCAGCATCCACAGCAGGCTTGAGCCACAATGGGCAGGGCTGTCCTGCCTTGTACTTCTCAGGGCCCGTTTCCCCTCTCAGGGGTCCAGAGGGCAAAAGGGATGGGGGATGAACACCTGGGTTCTGAGGGGTTAGAAGGAGCCCCAGAACCAGAACTAGGCTTGCTCTCCAACTTACTCTTTTGGGGTTTTTGCCATCTGCTAGCACAGCCTGCGGAGGGGGAGGAGGTGGTTCCTACAGGGGCCTTGTAGGCTGGTGAGAGGCCCTTTGCTCTTTAGTAGGTTTCCCCCAGCCATCCAGCAAGATGTAAGTAGAAAGGTCAGGGCTTACCTTCCTCCTGGGGCCTTTTGCTTTGAAGCCTAGGGTTGGTAACTGGATATTTCTAGAAGTGGCAGGACCATAACCCAGGAATCTGAGTTTGCCCTCAGCAGGAGCTTCTCTTCCTCCCTGAGCACCCTCAGTTGGCCACTGTCTCAAGGGAGCTGAGACCAGGAGGGTGCTGGGCACTCCCCTTCCTCTTTTCCAGGGTCCTCTGGAGCCCCCTGTTTCAAGGGGTTGGGGGCCCATAGGCTTCCAGGGAATGCTGTCCAGCCTGTAGGAAACCAAAGATGGGAAGTGGCTCCTAGGGGATTAACTCTCCTCTCTCCTTCCTGATGCCACACATACTCTACTTTCATCTCCAGGGCCCTACCAATCTGTTTACATACTTATTATCCTAATGCTCCCCCTCCCCAACAGGGTTGAGGGCCAGGGGAGGGCCAGAGTTCTACCCCAATTGGTTCATTGTGTGCTGCTTGTTCTAGATCCTCCTGGGGATGGGGAAGGGGCTAGGCCCATTGTACCAGGCCTCCCCACAATGAGCTCCAGGCTCCGGCCCCTGACCCTCCCTCTCCCTGTGGCTAGTGGGGTTCTCCTGTAAACCCACTCCTTGCTTTGTCTTCCCAGATATGAATTCCAGTTAAGAATTTTGTAACCTGTTACACTGTGTGTTCTTGTGTAAATAAACTTTTTGTTTCTGGCAGTGCTTTCTGGGGCCAGTGTCTCTGTGTCTGGATTCTCAAAGGGAACAGAGGTTCTTATTCCCCTTCCTAGCCAAAAAAACTGCCTTTTCTCCAGCCCTGGACCAGAAGCCAATTTGGAAAATGGGAGGCTGGGGCAGAAGATCTCTGTCCTGGTAGATGAAAGACAAGGTTTCACTGTATGTAACCATTGCATCTTATGGAACCTCTCTTGTGGCCTAAGTGGTGATGTGTGTTGTATTGGGGTTTGGGGACAGGACTGAGAGCTCTCAGCTGAGTTTCCAGTATCCCCTTTCCTTTGAGTTCCTAACTCTAGAAATAGCCTGGCAAGGGTTCTGCTCCTATACCTACAGGCAGGGTTGGTGGTATGTTCACGGGCAAGAAAGGAATCCAGAAGTTTCAAGGGCTTTATTGGGGCACCCCCTGAGCCTCCCCTCACAGTGTTGCAGGAACCCACAGGTCTTACTGTTGCCTTTGCTCTTTGTGGACTTGGGGGGAAAGGCAGGAGGAGGCTCAGCCCCTCTGGGAGACTGAAGGCCCTTCTTTGGGGCTAAGACCAGGTGGAGGGAAAAAAAGGAAATTCAGGGTAAACAGGGCTTGCTTGGGGGCTGTCAGGGATGGAACTGCCTCCTGGAGTGTGGAGGTCATGGAGTGTTGGCTTTGGAGGAGGGGAAGTGGCAGAAGGAGGCTCAAGAAGTTAAGAAGAGTGGATGGGTGGTATTTCCTGGGCACTGAACATATGTACAACCCAGGGCACGAGGGCAAGGACCAGACATGGCCAGAGGGTGTACTTAAGGAAGTTGAAGATGTAGAAGAGGCTGATCTGAGGTGGGTGGCCCAGCCAGTCTAGGAGACCCAGAAGCACCATGGCCAGCACAAGGCAGGCTACCTTCTGGCCATTTCCCAGTTGTGCCCGTCGTATCTGAGCATAGCAGGGAGAGTGCAGGGCAATGCCCAGCCCCAGGGCAGCCCCTGAGTCACGACTCAGGGAAGCAAAGGGCCGGCTGTCCAAGTGTACCCACTCAGGTCGCTCACACCACTTGGAGGCTAGGTTGATGGACCTGTGGGAAAAAAGAGTCCTTGCCAGGAAAGACTAGAACCCAGAGGGCCACTGGCTTTTGGTCATCTACTCTTGGCCCACTCACATGTTCTGCTGTGACCCCAGGAGAGTCTATGTTTGGGAACAGGTTATATGTCTTTTTTAACTCCAGTGAACCAGAGACCCAACACACTGGGTACAGGTGAGGTGGGTCAGGCCCCAGCCAGCCCAAGCTCCAAAGCAGGACTTACCAAGAAAGATCTAGGCCCAGTGAAAAGAGAGTCCAATAGATGAGACTAGCACCCAGCATGAGGGCCAGTGCAGTCAACCCATAGAAACTTAATTCCCGCTCCATAGGGACCCGCGGAGTCATCAGCCAGCCCAGGACAGCACCTAGGAGAATGGGATGACAGCAGCTTCAAGAAGTTTGGGGAAATTATCCCCACCCCCACCCCCTGAACTGCAGTGCAGCTTGGTGGAAGGACAGACTAAGACCACTTGGGGTTGACTCTATAGAAACTGGGAATGATGGGAAGATCTTAGACTGGTCATCCCACTGCCAAAGGCACCCTCTTGGCCCACCCTATGGCCCCTATTGCTCACCAGTTATTAGGCCAGCCAACACTTGGTGAGGGAAATGTGCTAAGAGGAAGATCCGGGACAGGCCAACTGCCAATAGGAAGGTGCAATAAGCCAGGCTAGGAATCACCCTTACCCAGCGGCTAGAGAGAAGAGAGACAAATGGTTTAAGAGGTGTCTAGTCACAGCTTGGCTTCCCTCAGCATGCATACACTTCATAGTTTGACCAAATACCCCAGAGTCCCCATGCTGCTGGGTCTTTTGGGTCTAGGATGCCATCACCCCTGTTCCCACTAGTGGGTGATGCCAAAGGTATACCTGCGGGTCCGAGCAGCTACTTGAGAAGAGACGGCTGTCATTATTGGCCAGAAAGCTGCTCCTGTGACCATGCAGTGTCCAGAAGGGCTGCCTGTCAGCGAATACAGAAGTGTATGGTGAGAGAATAAAGGAGAACTTTGGTGATACCTAGACACAGCTGCCTCCCCCTGGCTGAAAAGCAGCTTTCCCTAGCACTGCTCCACTGCTCCCTCTGGCCTGAAGCATTTTTTACCTGCACCTGAGGCCATTGCTTCAGGCTTCTGCCCTGTCACTTGGTTCTACCCTGCACATGGCAGGGTGCCCTCCTCCTATAACTCCACTTGGTCTTCCTGGTGTTGCTTTGTTTTCTGGCCTAGTAAGTGAGAGGCTAGGCCTCTAGTTGGGCCACCCTGGCTGAAGACTACTCTGAAATGCTCACCCGAACCCTAACCACACCTAGAAAGGGAAGAAGTTTCCCACCTGGACCAGTTTCACAAGAAGAGGGGAACTGGTGAACCCGGGCAGGAGTCTGGCTGTAGTACCCAGACTCATGGACCCACCAAAAGGGCCTGTCTCCAAACAGAAACCTATAAGAGAAAAGATGCAAGATGACTAAAACGAGCACATGCTGCCAGGGGGAAGGAAGTGGGCAGAAAGACTGTAGAAATACCTGAAGACTCTGGAGGGTCTGAGGAATGGAGTCAGAAAGGGACTCTGATTCTGGCTATTATCTTGCCATGGTTTTCTACCTTGGAACATGAAAAGCATACCATTTTTAAAAAGTGACATGGAGCCAGAGGAGGTGATACACGCCTGTAATCCCAGATACTCGAGAGGCTGAGGCAGGAGGATCACAAATTTAAGGCCAGTCTTGACAATTTAGCTAAGCTATCTCAAAATAGAAAATTACTGCAAAAAAAAAAAAAAAAATGATATGGAGGCAAGAGATTGTGGTAAGTGTGTGTATGCTCCGAGATATTCAGATGTCCCACTTTTTTGGGGTGTGGTACCAGGAATTGAACTCAGGGACACTCAACCACGGAGCCACATCCCCAGCCTTATTTTATATTTTATTTGAAGACAGGGTCTCATTGAGTTGCTTAGCACCACGTGGTTGCTAAGGCTGACTTTGAACTCACGATCCTCCTGCCTTAGCTTCCTGAGCCACTGGGATTACAGGTGTGGCCCACCACGCCTGCAGATGTCCCCCCTCTTAACCCTCCCACTACAGAGCCAGCTCTTTTTTTCTTACCCTGAGTCCAGGACTTGGTCTTTCCCCTTCCTCCCTGTCTCCTGCTACCCGCTCTCCATGTCCCTGATTTCAGCCTCAATTACCTACACCGTAATTATTTAGGTGAACTTCCATGTCTGAAAATGGGAGTAAGGAATATAGAAAGATGCCTGAGAAAGATTAAGGACAAAACTTCAAATTCCCAGGCTGGGTTTGTGGCTCAGTGGTAGAGTGCTTGCCTAACACATGTGAGGCACTGGGTTTGATCCTCAGCACCACATAAAAAATAATAAAGATATCTTGTCCATCTACAACTAAATATATATATATTTCAAACTCCCCTGGTCTAGCAGGTGCTCAGCTGGGCTCTGGTGAACCACACATAGAAGCTGCTGTGGCCAGAAAGAGAAGGAAAGCAGAAGGTATGCTGGCAGGAAGCAGAGAGCTGAGGAGTAAGGTTCAGAAGGGACTTGACTCTCCAGAAAACTGGGCCTCATACACGCCAAGAGCTCAGTACACACTTAAAAATGAATAGGGGCTTTGTCATTTGGGGGCATTTAAAGAGTGTGTCTATCAAAGCTGAGCATGGTGACACATACCTGCAATCCCAGCTACTTGAAACAAGTTCAAGGCCAACCATGGCAACTTTGCAAGACCTAGTCTCAAAATAAAATAGAAAGTTCTGAGGATGTAACTTAATGGTAAAGCACTTGCCCCCCAAGTGCCTTGCCACAGTGCCCTGGGTCTAATCCCCAGTACTAAGGGGGAAGGAGGGTGGGGGAGTGTCCACCATTTGACTCTAGGAGGAACAGAAATAGGGAGGGAAACTTTTACAGACTCTGAGGGAGGAGACAGCTCAGTACAAAGAGCAATTAAACAAGGAGGAAATGATTCTGCAACTGCTTTTCTGTCTACAGTGGGATGAAACCCTGTGGAGAAGAGTGGAAAGGAAGGTTATTCCAAGTTTGTTTTGCAGCAAGTCATTCCATCCCATTCAAGTGTCTCCTATGAATCTCCCTTTCTTCCCCCAGGCTGGGGACTTGGCAACAGAGGCTGAGGTGAAGGAAGGTGAGGCTGCATGTCTACAGGCTCCCTTATACACCCAAAACAGAGAAAACAGGTGGCACAAAGTGATAAACCCCAAGGGCTGCAGGGCCTCCACCCACTTGCCTGGGATTCCTGGCTTCTAATTCTGTGTGTAGAGCTTACTAATGAATGAAGGGTAAAGAAAAGAAAGTTTTCCCTGGAAGGCAGTGCTTTCTTTCACCCAGTGCTTTTCAAACTTCACTGTGCATTGGAATCACTTGGGGACTTGGCTCAAATGCAGGAAGTATGACCTGGAGCATGAGATTCTGCCTGCATTTCTAGTAAACTTTCTAGGGCTGCCTATGCTATTGGGCATGGACCAAGGACAGCAACTTAATTTGCAAGGCATCTAGTGTGATGCCTGTCACAAAGTATGCTTTTTAACAATTATGTCAGGAGAATGAATAGGTGAATGAAAAAGTGAATTGAGACGTCTCTTACTTAAAGCTGTAGATACTTGTTAAAATGCAGATTTCCAACCCCTCCTTTGGAGTTTCTAAATCAGAAGGGCTGAGGTGGGGATAGGATATTTGTGGTTTAAACGCGCCCCCTACGTGATTTCTCTACAGGCCAGTTTGAGGAACGCTGTCTAATGGGTAGAATGTGTGGAATCTGAGGTCTGGGTCCAAGATGCACAAAGATGCTCAAAAGGGTGGAATGGCCTTTGAGACACCTGCTGAGAGAGACCCGGGCCCTCGAGGGTGGGGGACCAGGATGCCCGAGGGCTTCGCAGTCTCACCACTTGAAGACGAGGTTGAGCCACTCGGTGATGAGGCTGATCCAGAGCACCGCGATGCCCACACGGCGAGAAGCATAGTAGGCCACGGGGAAGTAGAACAGAAAAAGGATCTTGGGATCGCCCAGAAAGGTGACCCAGAGCCACACGTTCTCCAGCCAGGGCAGCTGGTTCTGCAGCGCCTCAGCCATCACGATGCCCGCGCCCATCGCGGACTCCATGGCGATCCCGGGCCCGGCTGGGCCGGGATTCGCTCTAAGGAGGAAGCCGAGGAGTCTTGGCGACAGTGAAATGGCTACCGGCTGCTCTCCAAAGCCCACCCTTCCGAGCTCAGGCCCCGCCCTTCCAAACAGCGGTCGGAGGTAAGCCCCGCCCCTGCCCCGCCTCCGGCTGTCCCAGGCGCGCGCGAGTCCGGCCTCTTGCCGGTAGTGTCTTCTCGGTCGCTGTTCCCAGGTCTTCTTTCCTAGTGGGCAGCAGAGGGGACAAACCTTTGCGAAGGCGTTTTCTTAGGGCCCCACGTGGCTACTGTTGCTGGCACGTGGACAAGCTGCGGAGTGAAGAAACTGGCTGCTGTTCCGGGTCAGGAGACGATCAACCCGCGAGCCCACGGCGAGCCAAGGGTCCTTGTTCTGCTGCTGCGAAGGTGGATGTGTAATCTCCAGGGTCATGGTTCCTTCTAGATAGGACCTCTTTTCTCCAATACCACTCTTCGCCCCGAAATCTGAGCTCTTTGGGAGAGAAGGCTATGGACATGGCCTGAAGCCAAAGCAGGACCTTAAATTTTCACACACCCCTAATTCGTCCACACCTTCAAGACTCTCCCTCCCTAATTCATCTGCTATTGATTTGGAGGCTGATAGATAGGCCTCTCGATTTTCAGTCTTCTTCCTTAGAGAAACAAATTCTCAATTACAATTCCTCACAATTCTAATTGCCTTGACCCCCACCCCACCCCGCCCCTTCCATCCTCCAGCCATCCAAAACTCTGCTGGGCAGATAAACCAAAAGATAGTGATGTTGATATGGAAAGAGAAAGAGCACCCACCACCACAAAATTGGCCGAGTATGGTGGTGCACCCTTGTAATATCAGCTATTTGGGAGGTTGAGGCAGGAAGATGTAAATTTGAGGCCAGCCTTGACAATTTAGCGAGACCCTGTCTCAGAAAAGGGCTGGGGTTGCAGCTCAGAGGTAGACAGCTGGTGCCGGGACGGGGTGGGAGGGCTGGGAATAATTTGAAACACACAGAAAATAGAAATCTCAGCTTTTAGGGGAGGTCGGTCGCAGAGGTCGAATGGGAGGAGACTGTTGAAGTGACTCCTCAGTTTTCTTCCTACCTCCAGCAACTTTATTCTTAGAGTTTTCCAATGGATGAATGAAAATAAGAATATAAATCTGGGTTTCACTAAGAAGGTGTTGGGAAGGGAAGCTGGTTGAAAATCTCAGTTCATTTCCTAGATAAATGTTTTTCAATTGCCTCAAAGAGAAAGCCTAAATTTCTTTTAAAAAGTCTTTTAAGGGGCTGGGTTTGTAGCTCAGTGGTGGAGTGCATGCCTAGCATGTGTGAGGCACTGGATTCAATTCTCAACACCACATATAAATAAATAAAAATTCGGGCTGGGGTTGTAGCTCAGTGGTAGAGCGCTTGCCTCTCATGCTTGAGGCACTAGGTTTCCATCCTCAGCGCCACATACAAATAAATAAAATAAAGGTCCATCAACAATTAAAAAATATTTTTAAAAAAATTCTTAAATTTTGCCCTGTCTGGGCATGGTGGTGCATGCCTGTAACCTCAGCAGCTGGGGAGTCTGATTAAGCACCACTGGATTCAGTCCCTGGTACCAAACAACAACAACAACAACAACAAAATTTTGCCCGGGCTCTAAGCCTCAACCCTCAGCTGCCTACCTTCACACCTGCTTTATAATAATTTTTTCTTTTCTTTTTTTGGGACCAGGGATTAAAACCCACCCTGCTTCCCCAGGGTGTGCTTAACCAGAACACATCCTCACTTGCTTTTTTTTGAGACAGGGTCTCACTAAGTTGCTGAGGCTGGCTTTGAACTTGCAATCCTCCTACCTCAGCCTGCAGATTGGGGTTACAAGTGTGTGCCACCACACACTTTTTTTTTTGAGACAGAAGCTCACTACATGGCACAGGCTGGTCTCAAACTCCCCTCTCCTGTCTCACCTCCTTGAGTAGCTGGGATTAACAGGCATGTGCTGTCAGGCTTAGCTTTTCTGTTTGTATGTGTGGTGCTGGGGATTGAACCTAGGGCCTCTTCCATGCGAGGCAAGCAATCACTCACCACTAAGCATCCCCACTTGCCACTTTATACTCTTTATCTCCAAGGTTTCTCTTAGAGGCCCTAGTGCATGCAAATCTTCCTAGCTAAAATATGATCACCCTATGTTGCCGCTAAGCCCTAAGGTATCAGCTTAGATTTTTCACTACCTCTAAAAGGCTTTTCCTAGAGATGCCTGTAAATCATATATGAAATTCTGCTGGGTGTGGTGGCACATGCCTGAAATCCCAATAGTTTGGGAAATCTCAAGTTCAAAGCCAGCCTCAGCAATTCAGTGAGGCCCTAAGCAACTTAGCAAAACCCTGTCTCTAAATAACAAAATACACACGCACACACACACAAAAAGGCTGGGGATATGGTTCACTGCCCCTGGGTTCAGTCCCCGGTAACACGAGTGCGCGCACACACACACACACACACACACAAAATCCTGTATATTAACATCTCCCTCCTCACCTGTGGTTTTTCTTTCTATGATAGTAGTTACCTGCAGTCAGCCTATATGTGAAAATATTAAGTGGTAAATTCCAGAAATAATTGATAAGTTTTAAATTGCATATAATTCTGAGTAGCATCATAGAATATCCTGTTTTTCTGGTCCAGTCAGCCTGGGATGTGACTATTCCTTTTGTGTTTTTCTGGTCCAGTCAGCCTGGGATGTGACTATTCCTTTTGTCTAGTGTATCCATGCTGTATATACTGCCTCCCCTTATTTATTTAATAGATGTCTAGGTTATCAGATCCACTATTATTTCTCAGTGCTTGTGTTTAAGTATATCTTATTTTACCTAATAATGGCCCCAAAGTATGAGAGTAGTGATCCTGGCAAACCTGGTATAGCAATAGATGTCTAAAATCCCAGTCATTCAGAAGGGTGAGGCATGAGGATGACAAGTTTGAAGTCAGCCTGGGCAACACAGTGAGACCCTGTTTCAAAATAAAATAAAAAGGGCTGTGGATGCAGTTCAGTGATACAGCTGGGTTTTAATCCCCAGAACTGCAAAAAACAAACAAACAAAAAACCCTCAAAAAATAAAAAGTAAAATAAAAAACAACACCACTGTGGCACAAGCCTATAATCCCAACAACTTGGGAGGCTGAGGAAGGCGAATCACAAGTTCAAAGCCAGCCTCAGAAACTTAGTGAGGCCCTAAGCAATTATTAAGACCCTGTTTCAAAATAAAAAATAAGAAGGGCAGGGGACATGGCTCAGAGGGTAAATGCCCCCAGGTTCAATCCTGAGTACCAAAAAAACAAAAATAAAAGAAAGAATACTGGTACTGGCAAGTCAGATATGCCAAAAGGAAGCCATAAACTCTTTCCTTTAAATGAAAAGGTAAAAGTATAAGATATTTGAGAGAGACACCACATTCATATAACTTTTATTATAGTATATTGTCATAATTGTTTTTTTTTGGGGGGGAGGTATTGAACTCAGGGGCACTCAAACACTGAGCCACATCCCCAGCCCTATATTGTATTTTATTTAGAGACAGGGTCTCACTGAGCTGCTTACTGCCCCACTTTTACTACAGCTGGCTTTGAACCATCGATCCTTCTGCCTCAGCCTCCCGAGCCTCTGGGATTACTGGCATGCACCACCACAACTGGACTATAATATATTATTATAATTGTTTTATTTTTATTAGTTATTACTATTATTATTTAGTACTGGGAATTGGACTCATGATTGCTTTACTACTGAACAACATCCCCAGTCCTTTTTTGTTTTTTTTATTTGGAGACATATAAGTTGCTAAGTTGCTTAGGACCTTGCAAAATTGCTGAGGTTGGCCTCCAACTTGTGATCATCCTGCTTCAGCATCCTGAGTTGAAGAGATTACAGGCATGTGCCATTGGCCCAGAACATTATTAATCTATTATCGTGCCTAATTTATAAATTTAACTTATCACAGGTATATGTATATAAAGGAAGAAACAGTATATATAGGGTTTGATACTCTCCAGGGTTTCAGGAATCATGAGGGGAGACTATTGTAATAACAATGTTATAAAAAAGTGGATTGGTGTTGCAAAATGACTTGTTATAGGGATCAGAACAAGGATGAGACATAAAATTTCTCTGAAAATAAACAAGTATGAGGAGCAGATTCTTTTTTTTTTTTTTTTAATGTTAGGGATTGAATCCAAAGATGCTCTGTGGATTCAAAAAGATGCTCTGTAACTGAGCTATATCCCTGGCCCTGTTTATTTTATTTTTTAAAAATATTTTTTAGTTATTGATGGACCTTTATTTTATTCATTTATTTATATGTGGTGCTGAGAATCAAACCTAGTGCTTCACACATGCTAGGCAAGTGCTCTACCTCTGAGCCACAACCCCAGCCCCTGGCCCTGTTTATTTTTTGAGATGGGAGGTCTCCCTAAGTTGCAGCAGCTGGCCTCAAACTTGCAATCCTCCTGCCCTAGCCTCTTGAGTAGGTAGGTATAGGCATGTGCCACCACACCCAGCTAGAATTTTTATTACTAGTATAATGATTGTCCAATATTCCTAGCACCAGGAAGTTTTTGCCTCTTACAGAGCAAGGAAACACTTATGAACTTTGTTCAGGTTCTGTAATGCCAATGCTGGCCTTTTGCCTCTCTCTGGACTAGAGAAAGGTCAACTGTTTCTCATACATGAGGTTCCAATATTTCTGTATTATGGGATGGGTGGGTTAGGGATGGCAATTGATGGTGATGGGTTTAAGTATGCACCCGCATATTACCTTACATAAGGTTAATAAAAATAATTATTTTGTATATTAGGTGTCACTAGTACCACTCCTTGTTTCTTCTTTTTGCCTGGCTTTCTGAGGGAGAGGGCAAAGAGGGAGATGAGGAAGCGTCTTGGGCTCCAAGGCTCAGATGGGTGAGCATGGGGGAAATACTATTTATTTGTAGTATTAGGGATTGAACCCAGGCCCTACCACATTCTAGGTTACATCTCCAACCCTCCCTCCCCCCACCTTTTTTTTTTTTTTTTTAAGAGACAGGGTCTAAGTT